CAGGAAGCCAATACGGAAGTAACTAAAACTGCAATTCATCTGAAATTCGGCTAGTCGTGGCCGCTCCTGCTCCAAAACAGAGCAAATTTCAATTGAGCCCACTGTTAGAATGGCCAACTTTACAGCAGAATAAAGCTGTTTACAGCCTGGTACAAAAAAAGATTTTGGTTAATACAGCTAATATTACCCTTCATGACAACTGTGAGGGGGTGAATTTTTTTATAACTCATCCGTTTCCTTTATATTAAGTTATATTAAGTTTGCATAATTAAGGGAGTGGCCACTTGAGTGACAGCTAGGTCTCGCTGGTCGCCGTCACGTCACCTCAGCTGAATCCTGCAGATTAGCCACTGAACTCGGCATATTTATCGTATTTCTGTGTTGTTTTATGTGGCTTTACACAGTCACCTGCCTTTTGGACTTGTTTCCTACAATTATTAGATGGCATGGCATGCTGAGTGCACTTAATTGTGCTCACAAACCATTTACGTAGCCTCTGTGTCCCATGTGAGTAAAGTTATATACTTATATACCATCTCTATACATGTATTTGTTTTATTTAAGATACTTCATTGATCGTTTATATTTATATTTAGAGCTGTAATGCACTCCATAATCTGTCAGATTGATTAGCTGTAGGCTCTAGAACAGTCATCTGAAGCGTTGTCATACAGTGTTATGCTGGATTTCATCAATAGTCTTACATTAACTAACACAGACTATATCTGAAGTGTTTGGAAGTAATTCGCGTTTTCCTCCTGTTGAAAAACGTCATAAGAACAATGTTTAGTGGCTCAATGTATTACAGCAGTGTTTTTAAAAGTCTAAACACTTTATTGATGTAGTGTACAACCAAGCAAAAGTGGTCAGAATACAAGCGAGTCGCAGGTGATAAAGTATTAAGCGTTTCTCCCAAAGTAAAGTGTGTCTGAACCAGGTCCAAGCTAAATGCCAGCAGGTGTCTGTAGCACCGCTCACTCTCCGCCTCTTTGCCCTTGTTTGGTGTCCCGCCGTGGGTGTAATGACGCGTGACCAAAATGGCGACGGTTGGCCGCGCCTACTTGTGGCTTCTTTTGCTCTCTTCAGAAACCAGTGGGTGACGTCACGGATACTACGTCCATATACTTTACAGTCTATGGGTATGACACAGGTATTACAAAAAGGAGGTGAAATATGGGGACATTGGTGACGTCCTCATTTCTCCAAATGCCTATAAATCACACAGAATGAGTTTAATCAGAGAGTAACGCTGCACACAGTCTCCTGTGATGGTTGGCAATACAATATACAGTTTGGACAGTATAAAATGAATGGAAACCTATGTAATGTCCCCACTATTTACAAAAACAAACGTGAGTGTGTGTGTTTAATTTGTGGGGCTAAAACTAACTAAATAAAAACTATTTCATTTAAATAAAATAAATGTACCCATAGGCGGCTTGGTGGCTCAGTGGTTAGCACTGTGGCTTCACAGCAATAAAGTCACTGATTTGAGTGTCGGCTGGGCCAGTTGGTGTTTCTAAGTGGAGTTTGCATGTTCTCCCCATGTTGGCGTGGGTTTCCTCCAGGTGCTCCGGTTTCCCCCACAGTCCAAAGACATGCAGTTCAGGTGAATTGGGTAGGCTAAATTGTCTGTAGTGTATGAGTGTGAATGAAGGCGTATAGATGTTTCCCAGAGATGGGATGCAGCTGTTGGCAATTCATAATTTTTTACATTTATTTTTGTAAATTACTGTAAAAAAAACAATTATTTTATCACTATTTGTTTATTTATTTACTTATTTATTTATTATTTATTTATTTATTATTTATTTATTTATATTTACTTACAGTAGTTATTACATGTTGTTCTTTTTTTTGTTTGTAAAAGAATATAGTCAGTATTCATAGTTAATTAAACATTTTAAATATATTTATTTTTACAAATGACAGGTTTAATATCATTTACTTATTTAAAATATTTATTTACAGCAATTATGTATTAATTTACTTAAACTTAAATTACTTATTTACTTTTTATTATATTTTCCCTAATTTTTATACTTAAAAAACACTGTAAATGCATAATAAAAATACATATATGCATGTTTAAATGATACAAATCTGCATAACAATAATGTAAATAATTAATAAATAACACATAATAATAACTAAAATATTAATTAATAAATAAAAATGGCAAAGCATTTGCAATATTGTTACTATTTTTAAAGATTACAATTATAAAATGTTGCTTACACAGTTCTTGTATGATTGTCAATAGAGAAAGATAGTGATCGGATATTAACATACTAAAATATACAAGGATCTTTATTAAACAATATTCTCTGAACTCCTGAAGTCAAGCATCAGAAACAACGAGTTGAACATGAATATGAACATAATCAGTCTGCTGAATATCAGAATTATGAATTGTGGATGTCAGCAGGATATAAAACACTATTAAAATGAAATCTGACAGTTTTTATAATAACTCCTTCAAATGAAAGCATGATGGATGAAGTGGAAAGCAGATTTTTTTAATTGAACGTGTGCTTAAACATTCCTGTCTGACGTCTGCTGCTGTCGGTAGCTGTGAAAATCATCTTTCTTTATGCATATATTAATAATACAGATTGCTAGATTAATCTGACTGAAAAAAAACTTGAGCTTTTTAAAGGTTTTAAATGAATAAAGGTGTATTATTATTATTATTATTATTATTATTATTATTATTATTATTATTATTATTATTATCATTATTATTGTTATTATTATTATTATTGTTATTATTATTATTATTATTATTATTATTATTATTATTATTATTACTATAATTATTTTATTATTTTTTATTATTATTATTATTATCTTATTATTTTATTATTATTATTTTTATTATTATTATTATTATTATTATTATATGAAATATTTTATGACTAGATATTCTTCAAGATACTTTTATTCAGCTTAATATGACTAATAATTTTGACCTTAAGGTTTTTTTTTTATTTATTAAAAACACTGAGATCATGGGTTTGATGATCAGGACAAATATGCATTTTTTTACAAAACAATTGAGATGAGCTAAACCTTATTTCATCAGTGCAGTACAAATGACTTCATCTTAAAGCAGTTATAAACATTATATGTCACTGTGGATGTGCATTATAAACCAAACTATTCAGCGAGCAAAAATAATAAATCTCACAATTCTGCCTGCAGCTCGTTTCATTTCATGCCCAGTAAAGTGTGTTTCTACAGCCGTAATACAACTTTATTTCCTTCTCTGTGTGTCTCACTGCTACATTAATCTCCACTGCAGGAAAAAACTGTATTTTATATCACAAAGCTGTAAATTGTGAGTGTGATTTTCAAGGGCAGTGGATGAAATTCTCTGAGGACAGAAATCAATAAAAGTGGATATTGTTATTTGTTATGTCTAATCTCAGATCTGCACATTTAGATTTCACTC